AGCAATTCGTCTAGACGTTGGCGATCTGTGAGATCGCTTTTCTTCAAGAGTGCGGCCTTTAGAAGTGCATAAGGGTCACTTACTTCAGGATTAAACATGTTTGCTGTAACATACCTGTTTAATTCTCGCGGTAGTGAACGTATGACAGCAAGAAATCGAGATTGAGGATCTGAGACACCCTGTTCTCGAAAATCGGCCTCGGCATACAGAAACCATGTTTCTGCATTGTCTGGCCAATATGGCACGAGTTGGATCGTGTTCGTAGTCGGCTTAATACGAATAAGCTTGGGAGTGTGGTCGGACATGAGAAAGTGTAGTAAATGGATATATAAATGTTATCGAAATGAAAACAATAAACAAATATAAAATGGAACAGGCTCACCAATTCAATACTTGTTATTGGTCGGGATATGTGATCACGTCGGGCTCACCAATTTAGGATTTGTCCTGGTGCGAACTTGACAGACGCAAAGACCAATCACTAATTATTCGAACTTGTTATATACCCACGAATACGAGACCAAGGAAGAACACGATAGCGTAGTCGGATGGAATAGTATATTTGGATGGTTATGCCAAAATACCGATGCGTTCCAACTAACTGGCTAGAGAGTCGAATACGAGCAATGCAACGTAACACGACAGCGTGCCAAATGGCGAGGATGCTTGACCGGGTGCCTTCAGCTTAGCGAGTCCAGTTAAACTATCAAGGTCAGCATCAATGTCGAAGTCGTCAAACCCTAGGCTATTGATTTTGGGGAAGTGTGTGGCGCTACGACGTGATAGTGGTAAAGGAATTAACATAAAGCGGCAAAATGTACGAAGATCTGCACATTGGTGGTGAATAAGAGATATGGTGCCTCGGGAAATAAATATTGTATTAAGAATTGTATGGTTGGCACATCTTATTGCACACCACGAAGATGAATACGACTTCATTTACTCCGGTGACCTGACGGTCCTACCTGATCTTGTTTTCTGTTGTGCCGATGGTTGTTGTAACTGTTCATTACCAGGCATATCGTCAAGGATTTCGATAATTGAGCTATCCGTCTGTCGTCTGTAGCGAGCTGAAACGCCACTTATAATGGGGTTACCTTCGAAATAAGCTGGTTTCAAACGGTTGATACTGACAGTATCTTCACATCCGTTTCGCTTGATTATATAGAATTTCTTGTGTCGCTTAATCACTTTGAATGGCCCGTCGTAGGGTGTTTCAAGTGGTCGACGAACGGTGTCATGACAAATAAACACTTGTGATGTCTTTTGTAAACTGGGGTGAACGAAGATATCAGTCGTTTGACGGCTAACCGGAGAAGGCCTAGCTGAACGCACTGCGTTTGTAAGCCTAGTCATGTAAGATGCCCTGTCGGAAACATGTTTAAAAGTTGAGGGGGAAACAGATCCACCTGATAGGCGAAGGGTGGTCCCATAGACGAGTTCTGCAGAGGTACATCCAGCATCAACTTTCAAGGTGTTACAAATACCTAGTAGGACTACAAGCAGGGCCTCGGCCCAGTGCGGTATGTTTGCAGCTGAAAGGGCAGCTTTCAGTTGTCGATGGAAACGCTCTACCATGCCATTTGCTTGTGGATGGTAGGCTGTCGTTCGGAACCGAGTGCAACCTAAAAGTGCCGTTAGAGCGTGAAATAATCCACACTCAAATTGGCTCCCACGGTCGGTTGTGACGTGAGACGGACATCCGAAGTTCACAATCCATCTTTCCACGAAAACATGAGCTACTGTTTCAGCAGTAATATCCTTAATAGGTAGGGCTTCTGGCCATCGTGTGCAACGATCAACACAAGTGAAAAGGCAGGTACATCCATTAGATTCTGGTAAAGTTCCTTCAACGTCTATATGGACGTGGTCGAAACGTATGTCTGGGGCCAGAAAAGAGCCTAAAGGGCTTTTTGTGTGTCGCGTGACTACGCTTTTGACAAGCTAAGCACGACTGAGCCCACTCCTTAACGTCTTTGTTCATCACAGGCCAGCAGAAACGTTGTGCGATAAGCCTAATGGTGCCTCGTACACCTGGATGAGAGAGTTTGTGCAACATATTGAAGACGTTGCATCGACAACTCTTCGGAACTATTGGGCGTGGTTGACCAGCAGAGACATCGCACAAAATTGTATCCTTGTCTGATCCAACCGGACAAAGTCGCAGCTTGAGAGTTGTGGACGACAACTCATGATGCAGCTCAAGGTCTTCCTTTTGACGCCGGGCTAGTTCAACGAGATCAACGCCCTCCATATGATTTATCGAAGCTATTCGTGATAGTGCATCGGCTACAGAGTTATTTGCTCCAGAAATGTGGCCAATGTCTGACGTGAACTATGAGATGCAATTCAGCTGCCGTGACTCACGAGGAAAGTATTTGTCAGACGCCGAACTGAGGGAAAAGGTTAATGGTTTGTGGTCCGTGGAAATAATGAAATCACGACCTTCCACAGAATGTCGAAAATGGCGTACAGAACAGTACATGGCTAGGAGTTCCCTACCAAATGTACTGTATCTTGTTTCCGCGTCTTGTAGCCGCCTCGAGAAAAAGACTAAAGGTTGCCACTGGCTGTCAGTCAACTGTTGCGAAGCTGCTCCAATTGCTGAGTCAGATGCATCAACAGCAATGCTCAAGGCAGCATTGGGGTGGTGTTGCACGAGCATAGTTGAGTTTGAAATGGCTTCCTTGACTTTAGAGAAAGCAAGTCTAGTCACGTCAAATTATTCTTCCTATTCAGGGACATTATCTACACTTTTCTAATTCAACAGACATGATCCCTTATGTGAAACAACAGAACTGTGTTTTTCATGTAGATCGCAGTAAATATGATGCTACATATATTGAAGAGACATGATGTCTAACCGAACATGATCAAAATTACAAAACCAAACGAGAAACTTCCTATGAGCCGAAAAAGGATGTGGTATTACAGCCCATACCCTATACTCGGATTATATCTTATGAAAAAGCCTTAAGTCCTACAAAAGGATTTCTTTCTGCACAAACAAAGGGTCACTGCAGAAATTCTTCATATTTGTTTATACCTTTCTATGGTAAACAGAAAAGGTGAACTGGATATCTCTCAAAAGTGTCAGACATTAGTGACAAGTGTAGAAAGTTTCAAATAACATACAAAAAGAACGCACATAATTTAATATCACTAAGCTAACTAGACACTGCCCCACATAATTTATTCCGAACATATTCAGCTTTCCGAAGTAGTAAAGTATTCTTACTTCTCTCAGACGACTTATCGCTCCATTATATGTGTTAGGGTGGAACAAAATTCCTCATCCTATTTAAGAACTACTTTACTTACACAACTTAAATAAGCCTATTTGACCGGTTTGTTCAATCACTCAACGAAAGTATATTGACACTTGTTTTTGCAATACAGTTTAAATGAACTATCAAAAAGGTCACCTTTTATACCACACATGAATATTGACCTGAGAGATCCACATTCTTAAAAAGGGTCTTTAATACACTAAGTCAGGATTGTACAAGTGAAAATCACTTTACGAAATGAGTATCTATACACTTACCAGAGGGGTGAGACTAAAAGTTATCCTCAGGTGTTGAGCATTCTGTCTAGAAATATTTATTTTGCATGTTCTGTATGTACATGTTCCGAAGTGAAAACTGCAATAATAAATTCTTTTTGGTGGAATTCGAAACCTCAATGTACTCGCTGTGATCTGTGAGCATCATTCATTCTGAATAACTGTGCTTACTTTCTGCCTAAGAAAGAGGAAGTACAACCAACACTTTATATACGGTTTGAAACACGATTCACTGACAGATGGCATCTTAAAAACTACACAAATAGAGCATAAAAAATGTTTGTGTTTTCACAAACAACCCTACAGCTTATGGCGAGCATGATAATACCTGAGGGTAACTTTTATCCTCGCCCCTCACCTGAAGTAATTGCAGATATTTTTATGGAGCGTATGAAACGGTTTTGTCTACTGTTTGCCCCTATATTTATTTGTAATCAGTAGTCAATAGACAGATTTCAGAGATAAGATTTGTATACAGCAAGAACTAGAGAGTAATCACTAAACAAATTCACCTCTGATAGCCTTGTTCAAAACTAGCCGTAAATTGTTCATAAGTTCCAGTTGAACACACTCTAATTGTTCATTATAACATGACATGTAAGCGAACAATATTGTTTTCATAATAATAATAGGCAAACAAATTAGATCAAAGATTGAAGAACAAAAAAGGACAATAAGGCTGTGCGATAATAGAGGTTGGAGGCGGTGAATAAGTAAGAGTTAAATATGAATATAGTAATGGTGTGAAAAGGGGTGACAAAATGAAATGAAATAAATAATAAATTGATAAGTAGGGTCATTCATTAGGTTCTCCATGGCCAAAGGAGGGATACAGGCTGTACAAACTTTTTCTGGATACAGAACTTCGGATTGTTTATTCGAACTCCATCGGAAAGGTTCGGTGGTATGCGGTAAATCACTTTGAACGCTTTCGTCTTATGTACTCTGTGATCATTACCAACTAGATGCGACAAAATAGAGCTTCTTATAGATTTAACCTATCCTTTACCCAACCACGAAGTTAGGTGTTCCGCAATACGTTGGTTAAGTTGACTAGTCGCACGCCCAATATAACTATCTCCACAGGAGCAATCTAACTGGTAAATACACATGGAAATGGTGAAACTAGGTAACTTGTCTTTCGTATGACACGAAACAAATCTTTTACTAAAAAACAATAGACAGAGGTTGGCTGTATAAAAATTTCTTCTAAAGGTTCTCGACAGTCTGTGGAATAGAATTTCACTAAGTATATCCCCATTAAATTGTAGCTTTATGAATAGTTATTTCTTTTTAGCAGTTGGTGCTTCTAATTGTCCAGTCATATTCCTTTTAAACGTTCGGTATATTTTGAAAACTTCTCACACCTGTGTCTTTGAGTATACACACGATAAGTACTTTTAGGAAAGTATGTAATATTAAAAATACTGTTGGCTTTTTTCTGATGAGAAACCAATGATACGAATAGCTTGTCAAGGATAATTATTACAACAAAATATCCTAAACAGTTACAAACGATAGGCTAACAAAATATAGATTAAAATAGCGTATTCACTTTTGTATTGTTTACAAGTTGAATCAAATTTACTAAGTTTCTGAGTTTAACATTGCTCTTGGCTCAATATTTGTCAATAGTAAACCTGTATAATCTTACATTTGAATAAGAATTACGTGCATGTACAAACATGGTTTACAACAAAAAATGTAAATCGATAAGCTCCCTTATTCATCATTTTCCCATCAATTTGTTTCATTTTAATGAATTACACCGGGGTTATTACCACTTTTCTTATAACTAAAATAAACCAAATAGTAAAGTGTTAGTCATATGAGATAATTCTGCTTTCAGTTATAAAAAACTACTCAGGAAAAGATTTTGCAGTAACATTAACATGGAAAATTATTATTATTATTATTATTATTATTATTATTATTATTATTATCGCTATGGTTATCATTGTTGTTATCGTTATTATTATTATTATTATTATTATTATTATTATTATTATTATTCAAACACAACTCTAACAAATGAGTCAATCTGAAGTAAAATGGGAAACCACCCAGAAGAAACATACAGGAAAACAACTCAGTGGGCCACATATAGATTTGTTAGATGAATATCTTTAAAGTAGTATTCATCACGGAGTGACATCAACTGAAGAAACACTGAAAACCTGGGATCACGGAATGACTGTTTCGTCCTGATAGGGGACTCCTCAGCAATATATACCCTTGAAATAAAAAAATCACCGGAAAAATCGAACAAAAATACCTCTCAACGAGTGAGTCACAGGTTTTAATGCTATACTTTTATTTGGGTAAGGAATGGAGAATTACACTGGAATATACATCTTCAAGACAAATAGGTTACATATCGTTTTGGTGAATCCAAGTTAAAATAAAGCAATGAGTTATCACCATGTTATCACACTCTGACATAAGACTTATCTAAATATGAAGATTCATTCTTTTTTAAAGAAAACACTGTTCAGTTAACTAGGTGACAGGACCTTCTTTCAGTAAAGCGACCTCAGCGTAAGATGTTGAGAAATGGTTGTAAAAGAAAAGAAGCTACTAGTATGGCAGTTGTATTCAGATGAAACTGCTATTTCAAATCGTGGGGACTAAGAAGACTTAAAGATGTTGAAGTCTTCATCACGAAGGACATGCAGAGAATTTTGATTCCTCGCTATGGTTTTACTGTGAGTTGATGGAATATGTTATCCTAATATATCATGTACTGCGTAATAACTTAGGTATTATTCCCTCCTTATTTTGCTTTCCTTTATGCCCAATCATCTGATAACATTACTAAAGAGTTCACATATCACTAATGAACCAAATACGTCTGGCTATATTTCTTCTTCATTGCAACCAGTAGGGCTATTTATATAAGTTTCTTATTTCAGTGCCTTCAGATAACACTTTCAAAGCAAGATAGAACTTTTAATTCTCTGAAAATCGAAAGTTCTAATGTAAATCACTTGATTTACACTCTCTATTTATGAAAACTAAAAGCTCTTGAAGTGAAACTAATATTTTATTAGCAGGTAAGTTTGACAACTTAGTCAATAGAGCAGTGATTCTTTAATTCAGTATTGGGCAGTCAAATCTCGTCAATAGCTAAGAAATCGTTTAAATTCCACTATCAGTTTCTCACATTAACATATTTCTGCTTCAAATCTCTCATAAACATCGTAATTATAGAACATTTTCAAAAAGCTACTTTTCTGATCGTGCATTTCTTTCAAGTTGAGACTCATCAGCTGCATGTACATGCGTCTCAGTGAGGGACGTTCATATTAGAACCTGAGTATAGCACCCATTGCTTCAGGTGCCATAGAATTTTCCAATGTATTAGAAAGATACAAGAACTACCTCTCGTTTAGTGGATATCATCTGTTATCGTTTATCAGATGGAGGAATCTGTAAAGCAGCCTATAATGCCAAAACAGATCGACCAATTCGATCCGGTTAGACAGTGGGAATTCACACGTATCAATAAACGATAACGAATCTTAATTTAGTTTAGTTATTCATCAATTTCACCGCTTTTTTGTGCAAACAGGGACCCATTTACAACTTGTTTGTTATCGTCTTGTCTACGTTTGTACACCAATTGAGGCCTACGAAATAAATCATCTATAGAGACTATTTAACTGCTAATTCCTTCTGAAACTTACTGAGAACATCGAAAAAAAGTTTCAATCGTCTCAGAAACTTAAGATCAAAATATTTTAATGGTGTTTATTAGGTAACTGGAGATATCTAATATATTTAGTCCCCTTAATGAACTTGAGTAATGTAATGAGAACATCGTGTGCAAAATAAGATGACAACGCCTTATTTCATAGGAATTTCATTGCCTACTTATAATCTTATATGAAGCTTTTTAAGATACCGGTTAATGTCTTAAAGATTAGAAAAACACTAAAGTTTAGAAAGCAAAAAAAATTCAGGTAACAAATCCAGTCAAACTAAATAAGGGTTATTTAAAGCTTTGTGAGAAAATGTTCATGAATAAGTAAGATAAGATAAATAGTAGAAAGGAGCGGTTACGTTATCAAAAGTACAACTTCACAGGAGGTTTTCAGGAGAGTAGATAGTTGTTACTCAAGCATATTAAACACGATTATCGGCTTCATATGAAGTTGTGCTTTGCATGCGAATTGCTGACAAATACCATTTGCAAGTTCATAAGGTTTAGCAATTTATTAGTTGACTAGCTTGTATTTTCTAAAATAAAACAGTGAGCCTCCATATAACTAATAACATTGTTCTAAAACAAGTTTATGGCAAAAAAAAGCACCTGTCTTGGAATACTTATGCTCCTCTTATATTTTCTACCTTGATTTTTCACTAAGTGAAAAAGTGTCCATTTTACATACTGAGCTGTTATACAATCTCATATACAACAAACTGTCAAGCAGGACACAATCAGATAAGAAAAATTCTATCTTGTCAATGTATTGTAATGTAGTAAGCATGTTCACGTTCGTTTACTTTGTGACGAGAAATACCTATTGCCTGAAGAATACACATAAATATGATGCTTAAACTTGGGTAAGTGGAGCAGTATTTGAACGAATGACTTACTTATTGGAAACAGACTAACTAAAGAATTACAGCCCCACAACGTTTTTATCTAAGCATTTCACGCTAAATTAATGGGTTGTTTAACGTTACATCTATATGTCTCTGTCAAATTGCGCATGCAACTACTGATTAGCAAATGAATAATACCTAAATTGCTACAAGTAGTGTATTATAGTTATCACTAGTCTAGTTGCTATTCAATTGTCCTGAGATCTATTTTCTCCATGAGCTCTGTGCAGCAATTGCAAATACACTGGAAACCAAATCTTGTAACTCTTTCAAGAATATCACTTAGAATGTTGATACTAGTCTTATTGTTTTAGTTAACCTTTAGCATATTCAATGTTACAACATCATTCTAATCACGGAAATGACAGGTATACTGACAAGTCTAACAATAAGCTTAGAAGTCTAGATATAATCTAGTGCACAAAGAAACAAACAAAGAAATAGATTTAGAGGTAGTATTCATCACGGACTGACATCACTTGGGGAACAGTTGAAAATCTGGAAGAACTGGACAGCTGTTTCGTCTTAGTATAGGACTCCTCAGCAGTAAGCTTCAAGCAGTGCTCCTAAATTTTCAATGGTTCCCCGACTGATGTCAGTCCATGATGAATACTACCTCTAAATTGAAAGTCCCCATTCATTTCCTTTATTTATTATTATGATTTGTCCCTTGGGTTCCTAATGGAATATAGGGCTTCAGTAGCACGTCTCTAATGCGCTTTCTACTCTGAAATCTTTGGAACCTGGCTGCATGACAGCCCAGATGTCTTGTCGTGTGCTGATTGCAGTTGTCTGTAGAATTCCACCTCCTTGTCTTCATCTGCGTTATTCGTAGGTGTGTAGCACTGTATGATTGTGATTTTATTTCCTTTTGAGTTGAACCTTGTTGTCATGATCCTGGAGGAGATTGGTTCTCACTGCGTGGGAGAGAGCCTTTGATGTTCTCGTGGACATCATGATAGCCACTCCAATACTCAGTGTGCTGTGTTCGTGGTTGTCGTCTGGGTGACAATATCAGAGTAGATTATTGACTCTGCAGTTAAGAGTTTAGAGAGTCCACTCCCATTCCATCTGCTTTCGCAAATTCCAAGCACTTCAATGCGATGCCTCTTCATCTCGTTTGCAATCTGAGCTGCCTTGCTGGGTTCAAACATGGCGTGGGCATTCCATGTCCCCACGTTTACTTTCGCTTTCATTGAGAGAAGACACATCGGCCAATTGGCTTGGTGAAGGCTTTCACCAACTGGCGTCATTTTGCCTCTCCGATTCCAGTGAGGAATAATTTTGTTATCATTTTTTATATTTTGTTTGTGCTTAAATATTTGTTTAGCGGTTAGATTTGTTTTCCGGGTTAGGGTTTTTTAGCTGTACGCTCAGCCTTCCTTCTTTACGGGGGCTAAGGACCGGCTAATAACTAGTGAACTAGTTAACCAGGCGAGTTCGTCATTCATCTCATAAATAAATAAATTGTTTCACTTCTGTCTATCAATCATAATTCAACAACCAGCTATCACAATTTCTGTCTACACGTATCCCCCTGTTCTTCATATTCTTCAACTAACTAAGGGAATTTTCATCTAAACTGTACCAAGAAAGTAGCCATGATGTGTCAGTGTATAAAACCAGTAGTATACATGAAAGTGGAGCTGTGGTTCATTGGCTTAGGGAGACGACTTTAAACTAATGGGTGGCGGATTCGAGCCCCGCCCCACCTACAGAGATTTGAGCAGCCAAGTAGTATCACTACCCATTACACAAAAAGTGTAGCTCATCGCCTACTGAAAGAACACACAAGAGTACTGAGTGCATTTCGATTCAACTATATATGAAAAAAGGTTAAACTTGCCTTGATAATGCTTCTACAATTTCTTTAGTTTTATTTACTCGTTTTGATTTAGCACCAAATGTAAACTGTTCAAGACTGAGGCACTGAAATTATGTAAAGTATTAAGATGAGAACAATTTGTTGAAAATCTGATATAAATTTTTCAGTCTGTAGAATAAAAATAAATTCTAAAAGTAATTTTAAATGTGTGCTTGTCGATTAAAATATCTTAGGTAGCCCCAGTTAGCAGATAGGTGTCTTAGTAAACGAAGTCGAAGAATGAAGTTGAAAGTAATTAGTTTTCATCAATAAGTTAGTAAAGCCCAATCCCGGTTAACCAGTGGCTACTCCTGTACATGGTGCTGAGACCACAGTTTCCTTTCAACCTCATTCAATGCATGTTCAAATCCATGTATCAGACTATAGGGCCAACTTAAATACTAATGAGAATAGGATAAGTTTGAACCCTCTGATCCACTAGCCGAAAAAATAGTAAATACACCAATCACTTATGACTCCACAATGATGGCAGTACTTTCTTAAATTTTATGTTCATTAAAAAAGGTTTGAAAAATATCACAGTGATATCTAAAGTGTAACTGAAACAGATATTGCTTTCATTATTAGAATGTATACAATTTGAGTTTCAGACACATTAATTTTTTGAAGCTTAGACAGAAAGAGAATAATCTTGCATAATAGCGTGATGGTTCAGTTGTTTACTCTTCACAATAGCAGAGAGATGGGAGGTCAACAAAAGTAGAAGAAACACGCATATGAAGGATTTGAGAAGAAGTAAGTGACGACCAATAGCATATTCTCATATTTAGGGAAGATAAATGGTGAACAGATAAACACCACTATGCCATGACATGAAAAATTATCAAACATCGATTCTGAACTTGTAGACCATAGCTAAGTAGGCTAAATTACCTAAGTTCAGGAAATAACAAATGTTTCGATTCATGCCAAGTTTTAATTAAGACTCTCTTAGCTTATTCCAGTAGACGATAAAACGAAGTTTTTATGGCGCTTTGGTAATTATAATACATTCGTCAGTTAATTCAGTCAGTGTACAATATCACCCTTGCTGGTTAAATTGATTCTACGCTCTAACTTAATTGCTGTCTACTGTGAGATTTTACCACACTCGAGAAACAATACAAAGATATTCCTGACCAGAATTCTGAATTTTTATTATAATAGGTTTTAAAATAGAGTATATTCGACTACTAACACTATAGACTCGTCCTGTGGTTGGTTGTCAGACACTTGTTCAGTGCCAGAGACGACGTTGTTTGATGAAGGATAAATGAAAGCTTAATATAACTAAACGGCATGCTTAAAAAGGAAGCGTCTACTCGTAAAAACTTTCTGAAGATTATTCCCTTTGAAAAATCATAATATCCGTGTCACTGATTATCTCAATATCAATGTATAACTTTGACTTGTCTTCAACACACCGGATCTTCGACATTATACATCATAAAGACTTTATCGGCTTGTCACTTTACCTAAAAATGAAACCACTGCATTAATGAGCTACTACATTAACTTTAATGTTCACAATTTTCATCTTGTCCTTGATTAATTGGCCTGACCACCTCATGGGCTTTTTCTCACTGGTCTAGATACTTGAATCACAACCGTTGGTTTGTGGGTTCGAACTTAGCTCTAACGTTAGTAGATGCGCAGCCCGATGGTATCATTAGCTCTCACACAATTAGTGTGACTCATTGCCTACTGCACCAATGTGCACAAGGTTGCTGAATAGATTTTAATTTTCGAACTCATTCATGAAATACACCTTGAGTTTCCAAAATTTAGTGATCATTTATAAGTGATAAAACAGTTCTGCTCAAATATGAGTTTTTCGATGTAGAAAATAATAAAACCTTCACTATTTATCTACTTATTCTTAAATTGTGTATCTTTCACTGTTATTACTCCTGAAAGTGCTGATGATTCAATCTTTCAAACTTGGAAGTATCGCAACAAAGAGCCTAACGCGTGTGTTAATCCATCTTCGTTAGAACCGTTCTCAACAGCACAATTGGATAAAATCAAATGAAATTACAGAGCATTAAAAGGAGACAGTAACAAGACATTAATGAAAGGAAAAGCCAGATAAATGAGGTGTAATGTCATACAATTTATATGTCTTACTGGTACTTATTCTATTCAGTTGTGTCATATCAAATATTTTAAGAAAAAGAGAAGGATTCAATCCAGTTTTTGGAGACTGTTCAAATATTCAAACAGTCTGGCTCATAAGTCTTCGTGAATAGTTTACAACCCAACATCCAATCTCTTAAAGACAATGACACAAATATATTCACAACATACACTTCAATATATCTTGAACATTTCTTCATCCTATTTATTTCTTTCATGTTTACCCATATCTTTCATGTGAATACTTGAAAGCTATATCGGTTAGTTAAAGGTGATCAACTTGTTTACGTACTCCAGTTCAAGAACACCTTGACGGTTAAGTCTTTGACTTCAGTACTGAATGACTCAGATCCGAACTACCAAGCGATCACCAGTTTCCTCTTGACTATGGATAGGCTATACCGATGAGTACCAACAAGCACGAAACACCTAGGTCCAGGTAGTTACCACTGACTGATTCCTTAACATCAAAAACCGAAATCGTGAAAGTCTTCAGTAATTTCTACAGTTATCTTAATGTATTTCAAGTGGCTGCAATACCGCGACTGATGTAGAATGAGTGGTAGCAGGATGAATGTAAAATCTTGTTCCGACTGCTTGTAGTTATCTCAAAACTTAATAGCAAGTTAAGATATCCATTTAGTAAGAAATATGACAAAAAGTGGTTTCAAGTTATCGAAGTCTTCAGCAAGGCAAGTTTTTAACCTGGCCAAGAATTAAATACATCATTTATGATTACCTAATAAATTATATCAGTTGAAATTTATCTGCATCTGAAAGTTTGTTTTATAAATAATATAGCATCATCTTGTTTGGCAGCCTTAGACATTTCAAGCAAACTCGTATGACCCTTTTCTCTATTGTGCGGTCAATGCCATCTGCGATAAATGCAATCCATTCAGTAATCAAGCTTAGTTATTTATGATGAAAGCTAACAGTACAATTCAAGGACACACATTTCGTCGTAATCGAAATTATCAGCAGGATATACTTGTGTTCCAGTGGTTTTCTGTTCCCCACTGAGACGGTAACATCACTTTAAACAGCAGAACAATAATGTCCACTTTAGTGAGTCGAAACAGTCATAACTTACTAGGCGAGCATCAGTTTGCTCTTCATTGAACGAAACGAAACGCACTCAACCACCTTGTGGATATCCATACAGTAAGCGATGAGTCACACTTATTTCGTGACGGCTAGTGATACTACTAGCTGCTTGAGCCTCAAGTTGGGCATCTATAACTGACAAGTAATGATTAGGATTAAACGGAAATCGTGGATTTTTACTGCATGGTACCACTGAATGAAACTCAAATTTGAAAGAAAACAATAACATGGAGTTTGCAGATGAATACTATGTACCAAAAGAGATTTAACGATTCCAGTCTTGTAAATCAACAACAGGAAGAAAAACTTATAAAAGTACACAGCTACTAAAATCATCAAGGAAATTTCTCAATACATACCATTTCTGCTTGACTAACTGCTTCAGTGAAATTTCCTTGAACCATGTAAATTGATAAAATCAACTGACGTGTTCTGATAACCTGCTTATTGTACATACCATAAGTATCTTCTTGAATATTTAAATTTTCTTGAAGTAGATATAGAGCCTCCTAAAATAAACATATTGCAATTGAAGCATCATTTATAAACAAAATTTGAAGAAATCATTCATTATTGATCTATTGGTAAACCATCAAATGATGACTAAGAACTTCATTGTACATTTCACAGTCGAGCTAAATGCCTCACCGAACTTTTGCACTACCTTATTTGGACAACTCGAATAAGCTTCTCTGATGGATTTATTGAATCATTTGACTAAATTATATTGGTCTTTGTTCTATATCATGATCTAATTATATGATCAATAAAGTCACCATCTATACCTTGCTTGAAAATTAATCTGAAGGAGTAATATCCGATTCATATTTTCGGAAGGGTCTACCCATCAAGATAGAAACGTTGAGGAACAATAAAAAATATTTATCCATTTTGTTATTTTATCTAATATACTATGCTGGGATTACACAAATAAAAATTCACTTTATACGATGAATCACATAATCTCTGTGCCCAAGATTTTTCAAACAATCCAGTCCATCGTTGTTCAGGATACGTTCCAAAATAATAATATAATAGTGGAACATATTTCTCGTATAATAGATTCTTTCACAAAATCGATAATGATAAGGTTTTCCTTGTGGGAAAACTTTAACTTTTCTAGTCTCGTTTTTAATACGCAAAGGAAATCATGACCAAGATAAAAAAAGGACCTCATGTCCTGAAAACAGAGAACATTTCTTTATGTGCTACTAAAAACAATGGTGACTTAAAGTGATGCGTTTCCGTCCCAGTTTTATAGATTGATTTTTCTATTACCTCGGAATGAGCACGGAAAACATTTACTTGACCACAGCTTTTTCGTGATATTGCCATGAGAACCTGAGTAGAGTACTCTCTACCTGAAATACATCTCCTGTGTTAAAACTAGAAAATCAAGTTTTTTGATGAAGAAACACTAATGAGTGTAGCAGCATGCAATCTGACAATAATGCTCAACCTCAAGCTACAACTCATCTCAATACCATGCTTGAAAAAAAAACAGAAAAATTGAAAAAAGTCAGTGAGATGAATGCAGAAAATATGAATTTTGATAAAAGTTCTTCACACTTAGGATTAGTGAACGCTGAGATCGAGATTTGGTACAGTCAGATATGTAGTGTTCATTGGCTTCACATAGTTGATTGCTAATTAGTGAGTCAAGGGTTCACGTGCACCCTCCTACCGACGGAGACTTAAGCGGTCAGGCAGTATCGTAAGCCTACGCATGATAGGTGTAGCTCACTGCCTAAAGCAGAAATGTGCTTCTGAGTTACCCTCAAAACTTCTGTCAACTACCATATGGATGCGTTACCAACCTCGCTCGATATTTTATCGCGAATACTGACATGTTAATGCTCCTCGTGAACACACGTAAACTGAATTACTAGAAGCAGATAATATGTGAATTTTTTCAATTTCGAAAACGTAAGTTATTACTTAATGTGATGGCTTGATTCTCAGAAAGATAAAAAGCTGTAGAATACGTTGTTACGTAACCAAGACTCAGTAAGCTACCATTTTATACTTTATAATTCAAATAAGATGCAGCAACAAACTGGAGTTAATCCGACATTTAGTTGGCTGGAAAGTATTGATAGAAAGTCCTGGACGAGGGTTTTTATGCTTCTCCGTAAGCCTCAAAAAGGCGTATCAGCAATGTAGAGGTGATTGGTGTCCACTTTGACCGCAGCACTGGGTGACGCGAGTGTGAATATAAGTGAGAACATCAGTTCTACCAAGGTTGCTGACGGCTGCCAACAAGCAGGGCTTCCTGCGGATTGCCTTCAACCAACTAGCATACTTCAGAGTGCGCTGCAATGATCAGCCTAATTACTTAGTGGAAGATGATCAATAGAAATCGACCAGCACTCAGGACTAGACAATACGAAATTGGTTGCTCTCCAGTAACTAATCCAATGTACGCTATGCTTTGAGCAGCAAGACTATTGATTAATAGTATACATATATCATTCTCTCAAACTGCAGCAGATGTAAGTTGATAATCAAAAGAGGAAGTGAATTTTACTTCGACGCTATTAAAAGATTAAAATGTATATATATATACATATATATATATATATATATATATATATATATATATATATATATCTGTGCATCATGGAAAACCACACCAACACATAGTGTTTTTCAAATAATGCAGAAATAAAACAAACGCTTTAATTATCAACACAAACCATTGAGTATTGATCATACAAAATGAAGCGGTTACCATGTGAATAATTTATTAATGTTTTATTATAGGTAAATTTAAAACGAATATTTACGCACAGTGATTAGATTCTAAGGTTTTGTGGACAGAAGAAAATAAAAGATTAGAGACCGAGGTCATATCTATACATTTCACATTGAATACGGATTACAAAGGCGATTTAGTTCAATTGTCAATTACATGGTAGGATGCACTGAAGAAACACACTATCAGGACCTTTATATTCGCATTTGTCATGACAGTGTTCACTCATTCAGTTTTCATAATTCACACTTACACATCTTTTAATGAACGATTTAGAAGCTGTCATTAATATAAAAGTTTTGTAGGTCAGAATAAAGGAAGTTGTTATTTGTTAACGCTCGAGTTTAGTAATTTGATCTGGTAACATTTTCCATATCAGTACTTATATAACATGAAGGCACTTCACTTCTTCGGGAACGAATGAAGCTACCTAGGCTGGTACTAAAACAGATACAATTCAACATTATTCCCTAGAGATCTCTAAACAGTCGTCACGGTCAGTGGTATGGACTTAAAAAGCACATCAATTAAGAGAGAAAGGACTGTTTCTCTCGTCATGGAGAATGTTTCCTCGAGTACTAATTCTGGTTGCTTTCATCTTTGATGGTACTAATATGTAGTGGGAATCTAACATACAGAGTGTACTATTTCCCTTTTATTGATTAAAAAATGTGTCACCTAGAGCTTGAACTAGAAAAGAGTCATTTTTTTAATGAAGAGATTCATATAAAGTCTTTCCAGATGTAAATATCGGTTACGCAAGGATGTTAACGGCTTTTAAAAAATCCTTCATCTGTATGTAAAAGACATCTTGAAAGTCACAACCAAACTACTAAAACCTATTGATAGCGTAAACAACTTTAGCAACTCATAGTCAGTCTGTGAAAAAGAATGAATTACTTTAAAACTGTAAAACCATCTTGTTGATGACTGCTGGTTAGAGTAAAAGCTAAATTATTGAATTCTTTTCATTTGTAAAAACCATAATGATTGGTATTAAGACAACAATTAGAATTCAGGTTTAGAAGGTATGTAGAATTTGCGAATCGCATTTGACTCAGTTAAAGAGAAAGGAGTAATAACATTGTAGTGACAGATATTTAACTCAATGAGAAAATTGGATAAAATACGAATGGGGACCGTTCCTCTTCAGAACCTTATACTCCACTACCCCGGTAAGATCAGAAGGCAAAGTCCGACCCGTAACTGTAAAGAAGACGCCTTATTCAACAAAAATACATCATTTATTTGGCGTTTATTAACATATAAAGACACTATGTCAAAGGTTGAGCAACTTATCCTGATTGGGATAAGTTATCAAATAACGTTTTTCCCGACCACACAGTAAGACAAAAGTTGAAATCGAAAGCTTCTACCTTAGCAGCTGATGACTTCAGATGTTTATTTCTATTTAAGTCACTTCCTATCAGACATATAGGTATGCCTTAAAGACTGAGATATCTCAAGGCTAACAGTTGATGTGACTAACTCACCGTCTACACCTCTACATAAATTAACACCGAAAAATTATATTTTAAAGCATTGTAGATAAAGTCAGTAATGTTGTTCATTGTTTAATATAGCCAGTTTGATAAGCTTATTATTGTATTATATTGGGTCCTCAATGCTCTAAAGTAGCCATGAGAAAATAATACGTTTTAACTCATTGTTTGTTTTGTATTGTTATTACCATAATTATTTTTCCCTTGGGTTACTAGTGAAACATAGGGATTCAGTGGCACGTCACCATTCCACTCTGCTCTCTACAGTCTTCAAAACCTGTCTCCACCACTGACCACTAACTTTCATCTCTTCCTCACACCATCTCCTCCATGTCTCTCTCAGCTCGCACAACCAACTCGTCGTTTCCCATTTGGGTTCCACTCCACAGCTTAAGTTACCACGTGATCTCCACAATCGGTCTTCTCGGTGTATGCCTAACCTAATCCATCTCCACTTTCTTCTGCATAGTTGTTGGGTGATAGGTTCTATGTTAGTTCATTGGCTGGCCAGAGTCACTTCCTGGTTGCTTATTCTTTCTGGCAGTCCATCTGATCTTCAGTGTCAGTATTGAGTGGGCTCAGATGGCAGCTGTTGATGAATGTATGAAGTTTGTTCGAAGTGCTTTTCGTCATGTGCCAAGTCTCTGAGCCATCACATAGAAGCACTGGCTTGAAATTGGCGTTGAAAATCCGGACCATGTTCACGCTTTATGCTGAGTGCAGTACAGTAGATCTCCACACTGATTTCAGATTAACGAAAGCCTGTCCTGCTTTTCCGATCTTAGCTGCTTTGACACTCTCGTCTGTGCATGTGCTGTCTGTAGGTGAAACGATGCTGCCTTGTCTAGGTAGGTGAAAGAGACTACTTCCTTCAGATTTCTCCCGTTAATGGTGGTTAGTGTTTGTTGTTGATGGTGTTGTTGGTTGGACATCTTCATCACCTCCGTCTCCTCTGCATTCACCTGAAGTCCCGTCAACTTGTTGTTTTCGCCTGTAGATCTTCGAGTTTTTGTGACAAGACATTAGACATAAATCATCATCATCATGGGCGAAATCCAAATCTTCTCCTGAGGTCTTTTCATCGGTCCAGTCAGCGTATGCCCATCTTTTCGCTCCTCACGGTTCGCTGCATGATCCAGTCCAGTCCAGTTGATGACAACCAGGAAGATGATCGGTGCTAGTAGGCGGCAGCCTTGTATTACTCCTGTCTTCACTTCAAAGGAGTCACTGAGTTTTCCATTGTGGATCACTAGGCACGTGGGGTCGATTTGCTTTGTATACTTTTTATTAAAAAGGAGTTATTTTTAAAAAAGGAAGAATTGAGCCAGATTTATTTTTTTTAATTACGCTTACTTGTAGACGATTTAACTTGATATAAATTCTCACCAGTAATGAACGAAGAGAGCATGTTAGTTTGATCATATGTTCATTTGAATGGCCATTTTGAGAGTTAGGACACTGGTCCATTGAACCATCATTCTCCTCATAACTTTTATCATGTGAGCTATTTGTTTTATTCAATGGATCAGAAAGTTCTATGGATTTTTTATCACCTGAGCAGTCGTTGGACAGTTGTATATTTCCTCCAGAAAATGTAGCCAGCATTTGTAAAGTTTCACCGAGTAGTTGTTCGACTTATGATAGGAAATAAAAACAAAAACAACATATTTGATACGAACTAGTGACTAACATGAGAGCAGTAGACCACCCAAAACAATTCACATTATCCACTAGCTAGATCAGAACTACACAAAATTATTTCAAAATGCACAGTTATAACCATACAGAGAAGTCCAGACTTCCGCATTGGGCTCCACCTATCAACCAATGTCGGGAGGTTCCATAACGTAGGTGATATGGCTCTGAATCTATATCACTGGCACATACACGTAGATATTTTGTTTTCATCTTAATCATCATATGGAGTTTCATTGATTGGTCCCCTTCTTCCCTTTACTCATAACTTTCTACAACTTTTGACTACATCACTTTAAATTTCTATTTTTGACCAAGCTGCATTATTGTTTGCTTATGGGCTGATATGATGATATATGTCCACTTGAACCCCTACGCAGCAGTGTCAATTCCCACTTCAGTTTGATGGACTGGGTGAGTGAGAGTGCAGTGAAAATGAAACCGTTTAATCGCGGCCATCGGTAAAAATTCCACTAAATGACGCTTGATTGACTTGGTGTCATTCGTAATGTTACGATTATGATTAAACACCTAATTATACTAGATTAAGAATTGTATTGCAAACAGTGATTAAAACCAAACGTCAGTAAGTTGAATTTGGAGGTTTTTGGGGATCTAGTGATTTCTCAAGTCGGTATTCATCATGAATTGATATAAGTTGGAGGAACATTGGAAACCTGGGAGTGCTGGACAGCTGTCTTGTCCTAGTATGGGACTCCTCAGCAGTGTACACACATGACCCTGCCAGGGATTGAGCCCAGGACTTTTAGGTCCCACGGTCCGTACGTTACCATTGAGTTACTGGGTTAGAATCCGATGATCCATATTTCCAACTTCTGTCATTTCACGACATAGTGCAACCATTACTCAATATCATTGTTGGCTATTTTTCCTCACGGCTACCAGGTTCGCTCCACCGGACAGGACTTCTCAACAGAACTTCAATAATCACCTCTCGAAGCTTGTCACCAATGAGCACAGAGGAGTCCCATACTAGGACAAAACACATGTTCAGTGATACCAGGTTTCCAATGTTCCTCCAACTGATTTCAGCCCATTGTAAATAACAACTTGAAAAATCATTAATAAGTTGCTGAAATTGTAATAGGGAAGTTCTATGCATTACCAGCACAGTGGTTCAACTAAACAATATATATGATACACAGATGTAAATGGCTAAGCAACTGAAAATCATCTCTATAGCGCAGATTCTGCAGTGACTAGCAGTGGGACGTAAGTTTCATTTTCTCTGGTAATCATTATTAAGATATGTCTGCCTCAGTTTAGTTGTTCCTAAAGGTAAGCGAATAAGACATCCATCGCTTATACACCCGGGAGTTACTAATTGGTCCACTGTGTCTGTCACTTCTAAGCTAATTATATGGTACTCCACATTTTTGGAGAATCACATTTTCAGTTTTGAGGTTTTTGAGGATTTTTTTGATTTCAGGTTCGTATTTATCATGTACTGACATCGGCTGGAGAACCATTGGAAACTTAGGAGCACTGGACGGGTGTTTTGTCCTAGAATGGGGCTCCTCAGCAGGTGGAGTCACGAGTACGCACTGCTGAGGAGCCACAAACTGGGTCGAAACAACTTTTCAGTGCTCCCAGGTTTATAATGTTTCACCAACTGATTTTAGTTCATGTTAAATATTAACCTCGAGTTATATTTTTCATTCAGTTTATGAATAGATAAGGATAAAAAAAGAATTTGATGTGATGATTAAGCTGAAGATAATGCGTGTATGCAAGTGTCCCAGTTATCTCAAAATTGATCCATATTAGTCAGCACTGAGAAGCCAGTTCATCCATGCTAAAAACTTTCAGTTTTAACAGTGATCGTGCTTCTACTTAACTAGTGCATTTGGATGTAGCAATACGGATTTTCCCGACTTCAATCAACTCACTATTTAGCTCTAATAAGTCAATCAACTGAGGTGAATAATACTTTAGCACTCATGAATAACTGATTTTAAGATTGATTAACTCAAATTTCTCTGAACAGTCATGATTTCTGCACCCAAACATTTTGCGGTTGACATCCAACATTGACTAATGGAGTTAGATGTTAGCAGTGGTAAATCGAGTAGGAAGGGAAATTGGTTACAGCAAATTTCACTTTATTAATCACGATAACTTCCTGTAATCTGTATTGTTTTATTTCCAAAGGAAAGTCTGTTGACTGGCATTACAGTTGAGCAATTAAAAACCAATCAACTGTGGGAAATGTTAACATGTACCATACAGTTTGCAAATCATCTGCAAATTGATCACCCTTAGTTTAGGTATGCTGGCCCATACAAGTCAGTTGGCCAAACTCAGATGATCTGAACAAGTTCGGCTGTATGAGAACATGGTATGAACACAGTATGAAAGTAGAACATATAGAAGGAAACTCAGTAACGTAGACAAGCCGCTACAGTCTGACTTGAAACAGATTACAACAGCATGGTAAAAGAGAACCAACATTAGAAAGAAAGATACTTTAAATGTAGAACAGGAAACAAATGAACTACATAATGATTATCTACCTCGTTTGATTTACCTTTATCCATTTTCAAGTTGAATTTTAAGCAGGTTGAAGAGAACACATAAACTGAACGCATTAATTCAACCAAACTTTTCCTATCATTTTCTTTATCGTAGCTAATTTCCAAGATGAAAGAAAGTATTAAAGTGAATCTGTTATACAAATATGAAAACTGTATAAGTGGGTAAAAATTTAGTAATAAATTTGTAATAGCAACAATATAAAACGTCGATTTTTGAACATTTGTTACCGTTAGAAAATGTAACTTTTGAATAAGTTTATTCGTAACCGTTGGAAATAACGAACAAAGCCTAATATCATTAAGTGATAGCGAGAACAGATAAGTAAATGTGAATGGGGAAAGCGGGAGCACGGAGAAGTTTCAGAAAAGTGATATAAATATATCTCAGCAATACTGTAAGTTAAAATTAACTCTCTAAGTCAGAAAGTTAACTGTTTACGACTAACAGTCCTGCGGCTAGATGGAACAATCTAAGAAAAAAATTAGTATTATCAGCTTGACTGAGATAACCATGGTTTGGAAGACTAGTATTCATAGTGGATGATTGGAGGTGAAATTAAAATTTGGGCCGCGGCCGGATTCAAGCCAGTGACCACTGAATAATAGTTAATAAGTGTTGATAACACCCGATGAAAGTATGGTATAAACACAGAAACTCAGACACCAAAGGGTATAACATAAATATTTGAATTTATCTGAGAAAATATCAATCATCTATTGCATATGCAATTTTTTTCCGTTCGCCAAACTTTGAGTTCAGATGATTATAATTAGTCTGTAGGTGATATACCTCTAGATGAGGCTCCCAAAGTTCAAATGAGAAGTTGTGACCGATAAGGGAAACCAAGTTGGACATGAGGACAAATACTCGCTAAAAGTATTAGGTGATGGTCAGGTTATATCATGAATCAACAGAAGTAAGAAACTTTAGACCATTAAACTCTGACCTAGTAACTGAATGGCAATATGCTAGCTGAGACACTTGAAGATCTTGGGTTCGATTTCTGACGGGGTCGTAGATGTATAATACTTAGCAGTCTCATAGGATGAAAGAGCTTTTCAGAGCTCCTAAGTTTTCAACTCTTTCTAGACTGTTGTCGTCCCAAGATGAATACTACCTTAAAACTGTATTCCAGTCTTAGAATAATGACCGTACAGCAAAGAAAGTTTTTTTGGACGATGTCAATTACTAATGCTGTACGTCGCGATCTATAAGTATTAGTAACAGATAAGAGTCTATTATTAATCAATAAGGTCATGCTGTTAATATGATTTTCAAGAGAGAGTAAAATGTTGTTTCAAAAGACAAGGTAATCAATATTTTTGCCATGGTACGGTTAATAGCTGCACACAATGTTTTTCAAACATTCCACCACGTATAGATGACGTAGTCGAAATTTTTTGAAATCCTAAAGGCATGCTATAATTTACTTTGAATAAACTACTGAGATGTACTATGGCAGCTGTTGATGAATGTATGAAGTTTGTTCGAAGTGCTTTTCGTCATGTGCCAAGTCTCTGAACCATCACATAGAAGCACTGACTTGACATTGATATTGAAAATCTGGATCCTGTTCACGCTTTATGCTGAGTGCAGTACAGTAGATCTCCACACTGATTTCAGATTAACGAAAGCCTGTCCTGCTTTTCCGATCTTAGCTGCTTTGACACTCTCGTCTGTGCATGTGCTGTCTGTAGGTGAAACGATGCTGCCTTGTCTAGGTAGGTGAAAGAGACTACTTCCTTCAGATTTCTCCCGTTAATGGTGGTTAGTGTTTGTTGTTGATGGTGTTGTTGGTTGGACATCTTCATCACCTCCGTCTCCTCTGCATTCACCTGAAGTCCCGTTTCCACTGTCTCACTTCTTCTGTCAACTTGTTGTTTTCGCCTGTAGATCTTCGAGTTTTTGTGACAAGACATTAGACATAAATCATCATCATCATGGGCGAAATCCAAATCTTCTCCTGAGGTCTTTTCATCGGTCCAGTCAGCGTATGCCCATCTTTTCGCTCCTCACGGTTCGCTGCATGATCCAGTCCAGTCCAGTTGATGACAACCAGGAAGATGATCGGTGCTAGTAGGCGGCAGCCTTGTATTACTCCTGTCTTCACTTCAAAGGAGTCACTGAGTTTTCCATTGTGGATCACTCGGCATGTGGCGTTTTCATATAGCTGTTTCTCAGGCTAAGAATAAATGAAGAGAAAAACTTTTCGTGGGTTGGAAACGGATTTGTTTGGATATTACACGCTGAAAATTCTATACTGTAATATATATGCTATTTGGAATAAAGTGATTATTATTATTATTATTTCTCACTAGCCCCTTAGCCCTTTCCCTCACACTTGGTTGAGACAAAATTCTATCTACATGTACATTTATGTGTTTCCATCCATTAGTGTCATTTAACTAGCACAAATTTTAACAAGAGTTATAATGACAATAATAATAATCACTTTATTTCAAACAATATTTTCCATGGAGTTTGATCACCTCCGCATCCAAGTTTGCAATAAAAATTGGTGTCTCCACAACATATTCAACAGTAGTAATTATGGCGATCAAACTATTCGAGTAATATTAATGCTGAAGATGACAATATATGGATGGCTGGAAGATCAAAACATTGTTATCATTTGTCGATACTGATAGCCTAATGAATTATGCTTTGACGTTCGAAACAATGGTTACAAGGTTCAAGTCTCAATGGAAAAAACATCACTCACTGGGATGCAGGTACATCCAACTGACAAGTCCTAGGTAAGACAAATCGTGAGTCCTGGATTCCACTGCTACCTACAACTAAATCAATTGTAACTTCATTTATTGTTACAAAGTTGATTAGTTCTAAGCTAACAGATTTTCCTTCCCACAAGATATGTTCTACAGCTGAGATTTTTCATTCGGCTGTACAAGCATGAAGTTTCATACAGTTGCCTTCTATTCTCTCTCTATCTAAGTTGATACAAGGACAGAATTGTGAATGAAGAGGACTGCTACTACCTAGTAGAATAACTGTAGCTACATGCCTACATAAATCCGAATATCAGTCAACTGAGATGTCATTCAGTTGGGCTAGAAGCACACACCTAAACCTACTAACAGCTTTGAATGGCTTATGTAGCATAACATTTTCCTTTCTTACCAGACTACGACAGATTAAAAGACGACAAAAAAAGAAGATTAAGTGAATTATGGTACGCTTTTCACAGTATTCAATAAATAAGTTAGATAGGTAAATTGATTTTCATCAAAAGGAAACTACTAGAAAGAAAAAAAACTATTCACTGTAAACAAGCTTAACAAACTTGCATCTTTCTAGAAATTTCGTACGCTTTATCAAAATGGGCTACAGCGTTTTCGATATCTTGATCACCAGTTTTGCATTCTTCAATCTGTAAAATTAGATAAATATTTCTAGTAAATAAGTATACTTGATTAAACTGTATTTTTATCACATTCAACTCTGTGGAATTAATTACAATCATCAGTAATCCATGAGATATATTACTTATCTGAACGCAGCAGTCTATATTGCTGAAACCTTTTCAGTGCTGCACAGGGTGATACCAGAATAAGCGGAATCGAGTTCAAAGCATAACCACTGTATCTATTACACCGTCAATTGTAATTACAACTCAAATGTAGCTAGAACCATTTCATTAAGACTAAATATTCACATCAAGTCAAAACAAACAGTCTAATGAAGCAAGTCCTTCTAAACAATTCCTTTCTTGTATTCCACAATTGTACATAAATATTAGGTTTTTCATTTTCAAATTAGTATGTATAGAAATGTGTGTGTGTGTATGTGTGTCAGAGAGAGATATAATGCCTGTGACAACTAGTTATTACAATAAAATCGATTACATGTTTGTCGTTAGCAGAGTATAAGTATAAAATATGTAGAAGAGATTAAAGTAGCTATCTAACAGAGAATAGTAACTGCACTTAGAACTATTTTAATCAGAAGAGGTTAGAAACAAAACACTAAATGCTTACTCGACCAAGAACTTGATAAATTGGTACTGTCTCTTTGCTTTCAGAGTCATACTTCTCTTCTATGAGTTTCAATGCCTTTGAGTAATGTTCACGAGCCAAAATGAACTTCTTATTTTCAAATGCGACCCTAAAGAATTTGCGAAAAGTAGTCAAAATATATGGACTTTTTTGAATCTTGGACAGAAAAGCAGTATCTCAATCACTCATGTAACCATCCAGATCTTCAGTGAGCTCATCACGGATTAAAGCGTTTCAAATTATAGGCTTAAGTCCATAAGACAGTAAACATAACTTATTTAAAGTCCTTGTATCTTTCCACGTCACCTTCAGAATTGAATCAAGCATCTGCTAACCACACCGTTCAGGGTGAAATCAATAAAAAAGATGAGATGCAGCTGTAGTTTTTTTATCAAAAATATATTATGAACAACATAATATGTGATCTTTTCTGTGCTATAAAAGGTATTAAATTACAACCTTGAATAAAACAAGTGAGTGGTTCATTCTTTGTTCAGGTCGCCTCAGTGGATCTACACACACAGTTAACTTTCAACCAGTGGTTCGCGGGTCTAGACCCTGCTTCACCTAACGAGGTTTGGACAACCAGGTAGTAATTATCCTTAGCCCTCATACATTGAGTTTGGTTCATTGCCAACTACACAAATGTGCAGATTATTGAGTACATCTGCATACTGGAGTTTGCCTTTCTAAGTAGGAAGAATACACAATTGTCACCATTATGGTCTGGAAAATGAGCAACTGTTAACTGAGTGATACAGTGTTGAAATACTTGATAGCTAGCTTTAACCTTTCATATATATATGTGAAGGAGGTGATGTTCTAAACTAAAGTTATGCAGCTGTCTATCGAAGATAGACAAATTATCTTCATATACTCTTAATTTACGGCAGAACTATGTTGATAACTGAAGTATGATGAACAGTTACTGATACTTTTAGTCCTACTATTCTTTCTTCTGTCAACACGATGCTGAACTCATCTGTTTAATCGTATGTTGTTTACCATACTGAGATCACTGTTTTGTTCAAGTAGTATAATGACAAAAGTCACTAGCAAATCATAACCTTCTCCAAACTGTGTCAAACTCTAATGAAGTTTATCTCTTTTATCAAACAGTATACATATTGTACACAAAGCAATTCACAATGCATTACTCACTTCCCGTACAAACAGTAAATACGTAATTTCATATCATATAAATCTGGGAAAAAACTTTTGTCTAGCCGTAGTAAAGTACAATGACTCCATTGTTGATAGTAACCCTCCATAATGTTTTCTTCTTGTTCTAAATTCTCACTGGAATAATCATTGTTTCGAATCAAACCAAGCTGTTTTTCAACATCACTGAATGCTTTTACCGATTGTTTCATGAAATTTAGTGCTTCTTTCTTTCTAGTACAATAAAAGAAATAAAAATTAAAACCAAAAATTAGTATACCAAATGACTGGAATAGAGATGAGTGACTGAGTGGGGAAATAATTCGAAACAGCAACCTTAGAGTTATCTGCTTAGTGTTCAATGAACTGAGCTATAAGACTAGTGAAGTCAGGAACTGGTTAGCAGCCGAGTCTCATAAATCAATTGATACAGATCCGGAGGCCTATAGGGTGATCCAGCTGCCACTCAGGTTCCCACTTCACCTCCACTCACCGTCTAGCATTAATTAGGCTAGTCTGTTGAACTGCAACCACCTCACATACTCTTATTACCAGTCATCAATTTTGTCAAATATGTTTATGCAAAGATTCGAAAAAATTCAATTCACTAGTACATAATTCAAATATAGATTCACCTTGAATTGTTTAAATGTAATTCAGGAAACAGCAATATCATGTAAGGAAGTGAATTACTCTAGTCTAAATATCCCTTTAACAGTAACTTTTAGTCCTGAACCAGTTTTTCAGTAATCATTCCTTCAATCGGATACAGGCAGAAAACAGTGAAGACATATCATGTTGTGATATGATCCTCAAAAGTGATATAACGGTATTGAAATCTAACTTTTACAACTTATCGCCTTGTTCATTTTTATCAACGCAACCAGAACAAGATTTAAACAACTAATTTAGTTCGTATTTACTTCACAATTTCTCCTCCACTGCAGACAGATTAGAATAAATACAGAAAAGAACAAAGTAACCGTGTGCATGCAGAAATATAGATTAAAAAAGTAAAACACCAGTTGGAAAATGTTAATAATTCTAATAATAATGATGATAAAGTTTATCTATAGGTAGTTGGAAGAGAGAGCCTAGAATTCTGACAACGGTTGTGAGAAGTAGTAGTAATGATGAAAGAAAATAGTAGTAATAATGATAAAAGTAACAATAGTAATCTTTAAAAATGCCTTCGATGGTATGGAGTCTATAAATGAAGAGAAATTAAGCAATACATTTGTAGTGTTATATGTTCCAATCACTAGAACAGATTGATTAGAACTGGAAATTGAAAGGTACAGGGGACTAGTACATACTGATCAGATCCCTAACTTCAGCAACAACAATAGAAAACGAGAATATAAAAGCAGTTGCATAAAAACTTTGTTCAAGAGAGCGAAGACATTGTGGTACATCGGCCCTACGTAGAAAAGCATAAAACTACTTATTGTCCGTCTTTCAGATGGGAAGCTTTCTACACAATTTTATCATAAGATACCTGTCAAGTCTGGCATCAGCCGTAGGCTAATCTATAAAAACTAAACGATAGATTACATCTAGATTCATGCAGCCTTTGGGAATTACTGTAGCTCACAAATCTACAACGTCTTCTCAATTCACATTTTGCAGGCAACAAGACACAAAGGTAAAATAAGACAAATTCAACTTTTTTCAAAAAATAAACTGCAGTAACCTTAAGAAAATAGTTTATCGGAAAGAGTGGCCGCTTTCTTTGAGTTCGTTTTCACAAACATCACTTAGTAGTAAATAGCTAATACATATCTTCATTCATATCGCGTAGACAATCGCAGATATCGATTCGGCTAGGGAAATGTTAAGATCTTGCATAGAAGAATCTCAAGAAATTTTTATAAACTTGACACTCAGTTCAGTCAATAATAAATGGACATTAGTAACACTGACATAATATACCTACTAGTGACCAGGACTGAGAGCAACAGATAGATCAGATTTCAGGTCAGCAAGGCAGACAATCGAAATAAGTCTACAGATAATGAACCAAAGAACCAGTCAGAACTGAAGTACATCAGTACAAGTTATATAGCCACCTGTGGAGAATTTCTTACAGCTCACTTCTTTCTGAATTTTTTGCCGATAACATTGTTCGTAATAGTAATTAAAAGTCCCTGACTTAATAACATGCCTACAAATATTCTCCCCTATCCCACTTTGTAGTGGGTGCTGCTTATCAGAATTGATATAAGTAGTATATGTTGAGAGGGTGGCGTAAATCATAGGCAATTATCAGCGACGGGTAAATTTTCTGCCCAGAGAAATACAGGAGACAATGTGACCGTATGAAGAGCAAATCGAGAAAGAAGCATAAGAGGAAATGAAGCACAATGTGGAAAGGACTGTCTCAGTGGAAAGTGTACAATATTTCATTACTACTGTACGAGATGTCAATAATAAACATTCCTTCCTGCGTCTCAGTTTGTTGATATTCATTCAAAGTTCAGCCACCTCCTCCCGAAGGTTATCAATTTGGTTTTTCCAGTTATTTACCTCTGGTGACTCAACTGCAGCTACTGCTGTAACCATCAGTTGTCTGGTCACCTTTACCAGTTCACTAATATCCACGGGTTGTGATGCTTTAACTAGTAGTAGCTACTGGGTGATGGCATTTGGGACACTTTAGTTGAACTGTGCAGCCGGCAACTGCACATGGGAGTCATTATTCAAAGTGGGAAGTGCTCATTGAAGTATTTTCGTCAACTTCGCAGCCAATACCAGTGGGTCTCCGTCTATTCTAAGTTTCGTACTCCGGAACTAATGCATCGCCAGCTCCCTGTCCGCTGGGCTGTTGAAGTTCGCCTCCAGGTGTTCAACCATTCTCTTCCAAATCTCCCTTCCGTCCACGCGTTTCTCGCCGTCATTTGCCGCTTTCGCTCACCCCCTCAGCAATGTGCTAAGCACAACGACCTTCGCTTCCGGATATCCACCACCTCCGTGACAGACTTGAAGTCCCTAAGGAAAAACTTGATGTCTCCATCCTCGAACACTTCAGGCCACGTAATCTTATTCACGTCTAGAAGCAGCGACACCAACTGAGGGGAACTACAAGACTGAGACGCAGGAAGGAATGTTTATTATTGACATCTCGTACAGTAGTAATGAAATATTGTACACTTTCCACTGAGACAGTCCTTTCCACATTGTGCTTCATTTCCTCTTATGCTTCTTTCTCGATTTGCTCTTCATACGGTCACATTGTCTCCTGTATTTCTCTGGGCAGAAAATTTACCCGTCGCTGATAATTGCCTATGATTTATGCCACCCTCTCAACATATACTACTTATATCAATTCTGATAAGCAGCACCCACTATAGCTGTTCGAAATTAATGCTTTTTTCCAAAAACTCTAATGGCCTCATACAGTTTTTGTCCAAACGAAATAAAGGTGCAAAAATCCAAAGTAAATGCATCAGGATACCATTTGTGGTATTTCATGAGAAGCTGCTGTTATAATAAAGTCTCAACATTATGGTTGATCAATCATGTCAAAAGTTTTTTCAGAAACTTATAGGTGTATGAAGAAATAGTGTATACTATCTAATTCTGAAGAAAATCAGTAGATTCCTAGAATGTTGTTTTTTCCCCTTTCCAATGAATAATCATTCATTAGGCAGTATAGAAAAGAGAATTCATTAAATAAGGGAAAAAAATTGTTAACACAAACATAAAAGTTAACACAACATTGTAGTTACTGATAAAATCACTCAGAATAAAGATTTTTAATATAGATAACCATAGTCGCATTTATGCCATACTAAATACCAATGGTGCTACACATAGTGAAACTAAAATCTATTTTCAGTTCCTTGTATTCTATTCGAGATGAAACTTCTGAAATAAATCTATTTCCCACAAACCACTAAATTAAATAACAACTCAGTATTCACCATTTACTTGGCTGAAAATGAACTTCCTGCAGTTATGGTGAATAGCCAAAACCTGTAGGATAAACAAAGTTGGTTATGAGGCTAAATACTTATTGACAGCATTGGTTGACAGTGCACCATGTCACATCTTGACAAAAGTTGTTAAATTCCAGCCAAATGGCAGTCTCCATGCTGAATGGCTCAATGTTCCTGGTTTCGATCCCTGATAAGATCATGAACATGCACTGTTACTTAATCGTACACTAGAATGAAATAGATATTTAGTGTTCCATGGCCTTTGATGATCCTCTGACGGACTTCAACACATGATGAAAACGCTTCAGAACTGTTTGAGATTTATTTGTGCATTTTTTCAATAGGTGTCCATCAGACGTTGTCGCTAAGCGACTGAGGCCTTACTTTTTGAGCCATATATGCAAATGTAACTTTACAAACTTCATTCAAAGTAGTCATGATGGTCGACATTAGCCTCCTAACTTACCAACTGTTTCTTATTACTTGTTAATAGTTGTAATTCTTCGTTGTTGTACTGGGGAGAATTGTTTGGATATCGGCTCCTTTGCAGATGTCTCTATATTGCCTGAATATTTATTATTTTAACTGACTTAATTGTGGCACTTAGTAAAATACAGGAAGCAGGCTTCTTTCTAATTCGGGACTCATCATCTGGATGTACCTGCACTCCAGCGAATGACGATGTCTCTCCCATACGCCAACGGAGATTGATCAATTCAATCCAGTACAACAGAGCAGAATGACAATTATTAACAAATAATAGCAAGTAATAGATGTTTCACAAGGTGCGAACCACGTGCTGCAGTGGCCTTGTGGAAAGTACTTTGGTGTTTGAAACAGTGGGTACAAGGTTTTAGTCCCAGTGGGAGCAAACAATCCACTGAGCTGAAGGTTAGTCTGGTTGGCGACTTCTAAATAGGACGAAATGAACGTCATGGATTCCACCGCGATTTACAAGTATGTCAGTTGTTTGTTTGCTTTTCTCAGACGAATTAAATCAGAATACTTACTTGTTTTGAATTGATTTAGATTTTGCTAATGTATAACAGCTCAGTAAAATTATGCATAGGATAATCAAATTATTATTATGATGATCTATTGATTGTTCATTCATTGGTTCGCTAGTTGAACTGAATAGATATGATATCAACTTGATAGCAATTTCGGCATGACTCTCAGCTTGTAATGCATATTCTGTATGAAAATAAAAGCAGTAGAAGAATGATAAAACTGAAATATAATGATTTCTAGAAAGTTTCGAATTGGCATCACAAGCTTTTCTATACTTGACACAGTCAACGCTGAAAGAACGTTTTACGGACTGTACGTAATCTGATAAAATAGCATGCTGAACAAGATATCTACTATTAGCTTTTGTCTAAATTCTCCTTTCTACTTACTTCCTAAGAACTATTCATGAATATTGTATTTATCTTACTCACTAGCAATGAAATCCAGGACTCGTGTTTCATCCTATTTAGAACTTGTCAGCTGGATGTACCTGACTCCCAATGGATGATATTGTTCTCACTGGGACTCGGACCTAGTACCCATTGCTTTAAACGACAAAACGTTTTTCATATATGCATTTTTACAATATCCTATTGGTAAGATCTGTCCCCTCAGTCCTAGTAAAGTAAGTCAATGTGTATAATTACATTGGTCTAGTCAACAATGAATCATTTTGTCTTACTTTTAAGGAGATTCAAGTATGAGATGAAAAGTTAAAGCTAAAGCGCGTAGCAAAGGGTGTTTTTTCACATCACTATCAAATGGAAATCTTTGAAAGTTTCTCAAAACTATTTCAGAATTAAGCTTCTAATGAGCATAAACTATGAATGAATGAAATACCATATCTTCCATTATTCCATTATATTCTGTTTATTAGAAATATCACACAATAAACCGTATCATTTACCAGATAAACTGATTAGAAATCGATAGAAAAATATTAACAGTAGCAGTAATACAGGTGTTATTAATAATAATTCCACTACTAATGGTAATAATGGTGACAGGGTTAAGAGAGAATTCAAAGCCTCTACTGTGTTACCATACAAGGAAGGCACCTCAGAAGTATTACGAAGAATTCTCAATAAGGCTGGCTGGGATTAAAGTGACACTTCAGTCAATAAACTCACGTAGAAACAAGCATTTAAGCAAAATAATCTGGCTTACCAGATCCCTTGCAATGATTGCGAGGTCAAGTATATAGGTCAAAGCAGTCGACCAGCGTTAATTAGACTAACAGAGCACAAAAACTTAGGTAAATCAAGATTAGTGGATCCTAATAAGATAAGAAATTTAAAATAGTTCGGCTGTAGCTCTGCATACAATTACACACAACCACAGAATACGGTCGAATAAAGCGACCGTATTAAAAACATAGTTGGATGGAGGCAGAAATTAATAATCGAATCAACACCAAACACATGAAGCAGAAATGATTCTGCATATGTCCCAGGTATATGGAAAATTCTACTACCCTTGTTATCACAAAGAAGGAGAGAAAATTAGTGGGATATAAACCCTATTTCGAGGTTGCGAACTACCTCAGATGAATGTGGATAATAAATTATATCCAAAACGTTATCCAGTAAGTGATACTGTTTCACTGTGTGGCATCTAATAAATAGACTAAAGTGGAATTACAATAGACAACAGTGCCCAAGTTTTATTCCAATATTAATGTTTTTCATTATGTTGAACTGTTTGATATGTTAAGTTGGACATGGATTTCGAACTGAATTTTTCGAGATAAATTTCGAATCACTCTTCCATATATCCCCAATGAATACAAGACAAATTTTTACTGAGTGATGTTTGAAGGTGAAATGAAAAGTTGAACCGTCTGTGTATTGAATAGTTTATGTATAAGGTGAATGCCATTACCACGTTAGTTTTTTATTACTTAATGTCTAAAACAATCCATCACTTTTCGCATATAAATATCCAACTCATTTTCAAGCGTCTAATCTGTAGATGACATAGGCACTACTGAAACGTTCTCCACTTCCCATTTAACTAGAATTATTTGGTATATATATATATATATATATATATATATATATATATATATATATATATATATATATATATATATATATATATCGTAAACGCACCTTCTGACAGTCAACCCTCAGAGGTACTGACAGTCGAGTACACAATAACTGGCTCGAAGGAAGCCATGTAATAGATGATAAGTCAGGAATCGGGTGTTAAATCTATAACTACCATACTTCTCTGTCAGTATATTCATGTACTGGATAAAACTAATGTTGCATAATACATTTAGAAGTTAATCTGTGAATGTACTCTAAGAATATTCCATCAAGTAAATTATTCCAAAGATATTTTACTACCACACATTGAATAACTACTTTTAACTATCCCGATTTTCTGAAATTACGCTTCTAAAATTACATTTCTAAATCCCATTATAAATATTATTTCTCAAAAAGAGAGCTAGTTTATGTTCTTTGTTCGATAAGAGTCACAGGGATAGAATCACTTGAAAACCGTATCATACATCAAGCATCCAGATTTTTTATATACGCTAGCTTAACGATCTCACTAAAAGTGAATATTTTTTGAAGACAGATATGAACACAAAGCAACAACCTTGTAATGTGATCCACTCCAAGCCATCATGTTCTAGAACTGTACGATGAATCGAAACGAATTGCTATGCACCATGATAATCCTGTAATGGACAGTCATATTTTGCCAATGTACTAATATTATTCAGTGTATCCTTAGAAAATATTGGCGAGTAGAGACTTTCAAAATTGTTGGCTTTTCAATTCAGAATGGTAAATGACTGTCAAAATACAGATATCCAAACCAAGTTGGGATTTGATGGTTATGAAACATTTTGGCATTGGGTAAATGATACTCATTATTTTAGCATAGATATTTCCCAATGAATGTAAACCAAAATAAATTTGCTTCAACTGATGTTTCGCTATTTAGTGCTAATAGCTTCATTAAAGTTATAGTAAACCCGACTTTACAATATCCAAGCTTATATATGATAACTTGACAAGTGTTCTTCTGCATGAATGACTCTGAGTCATCAGAATTGTGGAATTAAGATGATATCCGTACATGGTGTGTTGTATGTGAATTACAGGTTGAGATTTGTATGCACACATGTTTTGACATTCCTTATTGTATGTATGTTGGTTATGTCAGTGTGTGGCGGTGGGTCAAGGCCAGTCCAAACTACGTTCTACTCCTTCATTCCTATCTAGACAATTCTGATTCCACTTAATGTGAAGAGATTTTGCTATAAGATGTTATTTACAATTTCTGAAGACGTTCTGTATAATTTCAGTACTGTCAGAATCTACCTCGTGACTTGAAATTATGGCATAAAGAGATATAGCTGAAGTGTTTTCAAGTATTTTCAGTTCCAGTGAATTTGTAGAGGGGAGGGAAGCTCTTCAATGTTGATTTTTTTTCTCATTTTGATTTCATGGAAAGTTTGTTCTTTATATAATGAATCGCAATCTAAGCATTTTACTTTACAAACATAATTAGGCCGTGAATTCATATGGATCTCGTCTTTCAAGTGAGCTAAAGTACTCTGCAGTGTGCTCGATGCTCTGCAGAACATTCTCATATTGTATTTGTTGAGCATTCTCCTAATTTCATCCGGTGTGTGATCTGTAAGCAATAACTATTCTTGAAGTCCATGATTTAAGAGAAGTTTTACGACCCAGTTTAATGTTATTTTCTATTTTGCGAATGAATTTTATCGGATAATCATCCACTTTAATTACCCTATTCACGTGTTTTAATTCCTCAACTATTTCATTTACAACCGTTACTACAGTTTGTGCTCTCCTTAAGAGACTGGAGGTAACAAAGACTTTAGTATAAATTGGATGTGATGAGTTGAAATCGGAAACTTTATTCCAATGCGTTTCTTTTCTGAAAACGTTTATGCCTAAATGTACATTTTCTTTCCGTTTAACAACACAATCAAGGAAAGATAGTTCCCTTTTATCAGTTGAAACAAATTATTTTTTACATTCATTGAGAAATACAAAAACGAAAATAAAGAATGTCGAGATAATTTAAATAATAGATGTGAAACATATTACTGATAACAAAAAATGGTAATCTAAAGTCTTCACGTAGTTATTTTATCATGTCATGAGCAACCAATTTTCGTGAGGTATATTCAATCCCGAAAGCCCATATGTAAATTCCTTTCTCACGTGTTCTCCTTTATCCACCATAATGTTACCATTGTATCCTCTTTTTGCACTTCCAGTTTTATACTACTTATGGTTGTGAAGTACTGAAGTAGTGTCTATAGGAAACCTACCCACTTGAATCGCTACTTACACTTCGAATCATCCCACCCCATTTCAATTAAAGTCGGCCTAGTTAAATGCTTAAGTGATAGAGAGAAAAAGCTTACTAGTAGATCGGAAAATCTGAGACAAGAAATTAGACACATCAAGAATACCCTACGTCTCAATAATTACCCACCAAAATTTACAAATAAACTCATAAGAAATAGAAAGAAAAATATTAGCAGTGGTAGTAGTAGTAGTAGTAGTAGTAGTAGTAGTAGTAGTAGTAGTAGTAGTAGTAGTATAATATAGATGTTATTAATAGTAATCTTACTACTAATGGTAATAATGGTGACAAGGTTAAGAGAGAATTCAAAGCCTCTACTGTGTTACCATACAAGGAAGGCACCTCAGAAGCATTACGAAGAATTCTCAATAAGGCTGGCTGGGAATAAAGTGGCACTTCAGTCAATAAACTCATGCAGAAACAAGCTTTGTAGGTTAAAACATCCTATCGATGCAATTAAGCAAAACAATCTGGTCTACCAGATCCCTTGCAATGATTGCGAGGTCAAGTACATGGGTCAAAGTAGTCGACTAGGGTCGATCAGAATAACAGAGCACAAAAACTTCGGTAAATCAAGATTAGTAAATCCTAATAAGATAAGAAATCTAGAGGAAGACTTGGCTTTAGCTCTGCATGCGATGACACAATCACATAGTAGGGTGAGATAGGGCGACAATGTTGAAAACTAACTTAGTTGGGTGGAGGGAGAGATGGATAACCGAATCTTTGTTCATCGAATCAACACCAAATACATGCAACTGAAGTGATGCTGTACCTGTCCCAGATATACGGAAAATTCTACTACCCTTGTCATCACAGAGGAGAGAAAACTAGGAATATATAAAGACTGTCTCGAAGTTGTGGAGTTACCTGATATGAATATGGACAATAACTTATGTCTGAAACGTTATCCAGTAAATGCCACTGTTTCACTGTGTGACATTTCTAATAAACAGACTAAAATCGAATTACAATCGACCACAGTGCCCAAGTTTTACACTTACACTAGCATAACTATTTTTTTCATACATTGTTACTTCATCCACAAATTGACTGGTCATTCGATTTAATCGTGACTTGGTCATCATTTAGCATCCCTAGATATTGGTGCCCTTTCCCGATTCATGATGATGTCGGGATTCCTTTTGTTTTCCCTCATGCTTTTTTTACTTTGAAAATTTGTTTGCCTCCCGTCTTTGCCTTGCTATGGGATACATGCGTCCGTTATATTCCCAGTTTGATTTGGACACAGTCTTGCTGTTTCAACTGTTGATGCACTCAATGTCAGGTGCTGTGACAGAAATAAACTAACAGATACCTCACGATTTGATGTTTATTATCTTTTTTTATTAACTATTGTTCATCAATATGAAACCGTATTCTCAAGCAAATTCTGTGTTTTGCATTCTACGCTTAACTCGAACGTTTGATTTATTGTTGAAGAATCACTATGGTTCCTAATTTCTTGGAAATAAATTCACATCATATTTAAATCACAGCTGGTATTTGTAAGCAATCCCTAGACACCCAGTTTCAGTGCATTAAGTTGTCTAGCACTGGATGCTCAGTATGTATTAACAATAAATGTATCAAATCATTAACTTACTTTGACCCCTATACGTGATATAAAAATAGCCGAGACAGCATTGATATTGAGCATTATGCCAGTCTTTTATTCCGTATATCATCCGACTTAATGCAATACATTCGCAGAGCATATGAAAGATAGTGTCCACTGTCTAAAACATTATTCAACATCTGTTTATATTATTATCATGATTTACTTCAGAGGAATTTAAAATATATTCGTTTATTATCATCTCCTTTTCTTTCAAGTGTTCTTCAGGTGTTTTTGAGACATCAACTTTCTTCGGCATTGTCTAGTGTAAGACAGAAATAAAACTGAACAAAATGAAATGTTTGTACAAACTTCACCTTTGCAAAGACTTATTTAATGAAAAAGTGGATTTTTCAATACATATTGGTAGGAAGATTTTGAGTGTTCTATACAGTCAGAGAGAAGAAACAAATCCAAATAGAGCGTCGCATTTAAGATTAAGGTTGTTACATTTCACAACATACATACAGCATACAAGGAAGAGGTGGAGGGAAAAAGAATTATGTTGAAATACAATGTAATGTTTGAGACTAGACTAAGCAAATATGCCCAAAACCTTAGATGATACAGATGGCTTACATCTGAAACATTGTGACCGATTTCCAGCCTTATCATTAAAACTCTCCAATCACCCTCTGGTACCACCTCAAGAGACCGCAGGTAAGTCAACCAAACTTTTCTTACAGTGGAATTTATGGAGGTCAATCACTTTTTTATTTCTTGCAGATGAGATTGTTAAGAATGATGGCAGGAGCTCACTGAATCAACAAACTATCTTAGAGGATGTAATTCCAGATGGATGAGACTATGAAAGAAAGCATTGTAGTACTTGAAACCTGAACGATCTGAGCATTCGAGCATATTAAATAAAATGATAGGTTAAACGTGCAATATACTAGTTACTAGCCGGCCCTAAGCCCGAGTAAAGAGGGAAGGTTGGGCATAGAACTAGCAACCCTACCCCGTAAAACAAATCCAATCGCTACAGAAACTTCAAAGCACAGACAAAAAATAAAAATAAAAACAAACTGATTCCTTGCTGGAATCGTGTGGGCAAATGTCGCCCGTTGGTGAAAGCCTTCAGCAAGCCAATTGGCCGATGTGTCTTCTCTCAATGAAAGCGAAAGTAGACGTGGGGACATGGAATGTCCGCACCATGCTTGAACTCAGCAAGGCAGCTCAGATTGCAAACGAGATGAGAAGGTATCACATCGAAGTGCTTGGAATTCGCGAAAGCAGATGGAATGCCAGTGGACTCTCCAAACTGTCATCTGGAGAGTCAATAATCTACTCCGGTTACCCAGGCGACAACCACGAACACAGCACACTGAGTATTGGAGTGGCTATCATGATGTCTCCAACAGCATTGCAGGCTTTCATGCAGTGTGAACCAATCTTCCCAACAATCAGGATCATGACAGCAAGGTTCAACTCAAAAGGAAATAAAGTCACAATCGTACAATGCTACGCACCTAAAAATAATACAGACGTAGAGAAGGAGGAGAAGTTTTACAGACAACTGCAATTAGCACTGGACAAGACCCCACTCTAGTTGGCGACATCAAAATTCTAATGGGCGACATGAATGTCAAACTGGGAGCGGACAACACAGGAGGAGAACTAACTATGGGTAGAGAAGCACTCGGTGAAACGAACGAGAATGGAAAACTGTTTGCAGAATTCTGTGCATTCAACGCAGATGAAACCAATAGAAGATGATGAGGAAAATCTAATCACCAAAGAAGAGAAAAAAAAGAAACAAAAGGCTCTTAAACAGACTATCACCTGCACTTCGTCCAGAAATACCACCTGCAGCCACAGAAATACAAGTGGATACAAGTCCTCTGATGAAAATCAAAGTCCTGAGCTCCATAAAGCTACTGAAGTGCAGGAAAGCAGCAGGACGAGATGAGATCCCACCAGAAGCACTGAAAACAGATGCAGAGACAACAGCGAACATGCTCACACCACACTACTATTGCAGAAGGTCTGGAAGGAAGAGAAGGTACCTGCCCATTGATTGGAAGAAGGGTTACCTCGTCAAATTCCCAAAGAAGGGAGACCTAAGTCTTTGCAAGAACTGGCGCGGATTCACTCTCCTGTCTACCCCAAGCATAATATTAAGCTGCATCATCCTAGAGAGACTAGAGGATGCACTGGATTCAAAGCTAAGACCAGAACAAGCTGGCTGGCCGGATTCGGGAAGTACAAATCATGTGCGCATCATCAAAGAACAGAGTATAGAATGGCAGTCAACTCAACTTTATCGACTTTGAGAAGGCCTTTGACAGTGTCGACCGAGAGGTAATTTGGAAACAGCTCCAATACTACGGAATACCGCAGACCTTTATCCAACTATATGAAGATGCCACATGCCATGTGATTCAAAATGGGAAGCTCAGTGATGCTTTTGAAGTGAAGACAGGAGTAATACAAGGCTGTCTACTATCACCCATGATATTCCTGATTGTAGTGGACTGGATCACGCAGCAAACAGTGGCGAGCGATAAGAGAGGGATACGCTGGACTGCGGAAAAGAACCTAGAAGACTTGGATTTTGCCGATGACTTGTGCCTGACGTCACACAAACTTGAAGATCTACAGGCAAAAACTAACAAGTTCACAGAAGAAGTGGGGCAGCGAAGACGGGACTTCAAGTGAATATGGAGAAGACAGAGGTGATGAAGATACCCAACCAAAACCACCACCAACAACAAGCTCCAATCAACATCAACGGGAGAAACTTGAAGGAAGAAGCCTCTTTCACCTATCTAGGCAGCACTGTTTCAACTACAGGCGGCACAGGCACAGACGAGAGTGTCAAAGCAGCCAGGATCGGAAAAGCAAGACAGGCGTTCATTAGCCTGAAACCAGTGTGGAGACCTACTGTACTGCACTCAGCATATAGCGTAAACAAGATCCAGATTTTCAACACCAATCTCAAGTCAGTGCTTCTATGTGATGGTTCAGAGACTTGGCACATGACAAAAAGCACTTCGAACAAACTTCAGACATTCATCAACAACTACCTATGCTGGCTCGTTACTGAAGATCAGATGGGTTGCCAGAAAGAATAAGCAACAAGGAACTCACTGTGTCTGGCAACGAACCAACCAAGAACCTATCACTCAACAAATATGCAGAAGAAAGTGGAGATGGATTGGATTGGACATACACTGAGAAGGCCGACTGAGGACATCACGCGCCAGGCCAGTTTCTCGAGTGGAACCCAGATAGGAAAAGACGAGTTGGTTGTCCGAGGCTAGGGTGACATGGAGGAGATGGTGTGAGGAAGAAATGAGACCTTGTAGGCAGTCCTGGAACCAGGTTGAAAGAGAAGAGTGCAAAGAAGAGAGTAGAATGGAGACGTCCTACTGAAGCCCTAAATTCCATTAGAAACCCAAGGGATAAACAGTAGTAATAATAATTGCATCGTGATTTTTATTACTCCTTGGGCTAACGCAGTTGCTAGATTCTATGATTTGTCAAAACTCCGTAGATCTAAAATCCCCTTCAAACCAATTATTGACCTTAAAATCCCAAAATATTTGTCAACAATTTGAAAACCATGCATTTTATCAGCATCTGCGTAACAGGAAAATGTCATCTGCGTACTCTGACGCAACCGTGAATCCATTAGCGCATGACTGATCATTGAGAAAACACATGCACCAAAGAAAATGTCCATCAGTACATCAAAAAACCAAACTAAGTAGGAACGGTGACAAAGGGTATCTTTGTCTAACAATATCGGTTGTCATCAATTCACAAGGCGACTCGCCATAAACATCAACACAGCTGCATAAGTTTGAGCAGAGAGATTTCATTAGTACTCCACGCTTGCTTACGACTTGACTCACAGTAAGACACCGGCACGGCATCCGTTGGTTAACAAAGTTGAATGCTCCCTTCAGGTCAACAAATATGACGTGTTGGCTGCCAGTAAGGATGCCTGTGTTCTAGAACCTTTCAAAGGGCAGACGTCTGATCGATGCACTTATGTCTAAGTTCAAAATCTGTCTGGTTTTTTGAGCCAATTGTTCTCATGCTCCAGTTGAGTGTCGGGTAACCATGGACCTAATTGTCTTCGACATGATATCAGTCAAACTTATCCCTCTGTGGTTGTCCAGACTTCTCTACCTACTTATGGAACGGAATGATGAGTGAATTAGACGTCTAATGGGACTACCTCTGATTCCCATACACTACCTAGTGCTTTCATTACTCTAATCAGTAATTTATTGTTGCTCTCTTAAAACTCCCCAGTTGCAAACAATTAGATTCTTCTGACTTGAGTCGTTTCAGGTATGAAACAGGCCTCTCTACTCCGAGTACAGTTGAAGGACTGAGATCTTTGTTCAGTTCAGAAGCGGAAACCATAACGGCTAGTCCCAGTCAACATCTTTACAGGCAAAAGCAAGAGGATATGCGGAAAATTCTAACGAAAACTCAGGCCAAAGCAAAAGATTTTGCAACATATCCCTGAGGTTTTTCACCTCCACATTCTTCCCCCGTTGCCTTGCAAAATACTTCGCGTGTTCTCAAGAAATATTTTATATTCCTCCCCTGTCGTCAAAGCGAATGTATCAATTTGTAACTATTCTCTCCAAATACATTATTATCCTTCCATATTTTTGATCAAAAATGAACTTCGCAACAAAAACCAGTCGACAGTTTTGCTGGAAACAGCGAAAAAATTGACAGAAATGTGGAGAAGAAAAATGCTAGGAGAATTGGGGAAAACGTTGGGGGTTTTCTCGAGGGTACCGGAGGCAGATCACAGAGGCGAAAAGATATTGGCAAAACTTGGGTAAATGTTGCAGAATCGCTTGCTTTGCAACAAGTCTCCATCGCAGTCTGCAATGTGAGCACTGTTTTGCTCAGCGTGAGTGCTGACTGGGACCAGAGGAAATGCAGGGGCAGAAGTATTGTACAATCATCGAAAACACTGGCTTACGTATCAGGCCAGCAGTGAAATCATAAAGTAAAATGTGCCAAATATGTTCAGGTCCTGCATTCGGCCCGTCTCTTTTTTGTAGTGAGTCGTTCAATACTGCCTTGTTTGATTTGACGGAAATGTTGACTGCAGTCAACACACCCATGGGTCCTTTAGAGGCAAACATTTTTGCTTGAACTGACGAAAAGAGACATACCAGAAGAAAGTGTTTTCAAACTTAAGAACATGTAGGTTCATCATGTTATACCTTTCTTCTCACAATTATTTTGTAAAAACTGTTATACTAAAAATTAGGCTTGTAACTAATGCTTAAAAACTCTCTAAAAGTACTCAAACTGTAGTTTCCAGAAATAGCGTAGTAAAACGAAGCCTTGGAAGATTCACACTGAAATTTTCCTCAGAACTTGAAGCATTACTGTCAACTTTTCTACTACCTTAAAATATCTTGAAGGCAACTTCTTAGAATAAAGTTGCAGCATAAGCTTCTTTCTTAAACTTCAAACATCATGTTTTATAATTAGAGAACGATGGTTCCTTGAGTTTGACGTCTACTTGCTGACATATTTTCTTTGTTTGAAACGGTTGAAAGTGTCCATCTACTTCCCAAAAACCTGAAAAGATAGAGATCATGTGTTATAATTATTCTCCTCCCTATATGTAGTTTTACTCCCTTGAATCTGTAGGTCACGCGAAAGTTGTGGAGTAAAGCCCATCGGTACCACAAGAACTTGAATGTTCTTATGGCTTCCTTTTCAGAGCTATCTGGCGAGGCGGTTGCAATGTATGTAGATAGTGTTTCCACAGTTTACAAACCTTAACTGCAAACGAGTTGGCACGGATCGTGGGACGTGCTCCTACATGCTCTACGCTTAACGGGTGGCCCCTGAGGTGGTATTTCTCACTAAAGCTTGGGGGTGAGCTTTTATGATGGAAAAAGCCGTGGGTGATGTGATGCGTCATGATCAAATCTTCTACGACTCAGTGGTTTTGCACCGATTGCAGCTGAGGAGCAACTAGGCAATCCATGTGAGGATCGAAACGTAACTCAATCACTTCCTTCCTACCTCTTTTCTGAACCAGTTCTAGGATGACTATATCTTTCCTCAAGCATGAGGAGAACATTAGCCGATTTCTTTCTAGATGATGACGAATAGAAAGTCCATACGCTGTGGTGAATAGGTGTGGAGTTAGGCTCCCCGAAGTTCCGGAAAGAAAACCTAGGACTCCAAAGACCCTATTGGGTGTACGACGACAGATCGAAGCCCCAAGTGACTCCCAGATCCTTTTAAGCGTCCGAGTGGCATACTTGTTTCACCCAGAGAACAAAAACTGGAACCTTTTTCTCATTCGTCAACAAGCATCATCATGCGCTTCTTTGAGTTGAGGGTGATCAGCTTTTCATTAGTCCAGTCTGGGATTCTGGAAAGGTCTTCCTGAATGACCGGGATATCCGTTGTCTCCTGTATTTTACGACAGATCTCCAGGTCCTTGTCATGCAACAGTGAAGGAAAAGTTAGGGGTAGTGATAGGTCATTGATAGGGACAAAAAACTTTAGTGGACCAAGGGAAGAACCCTGGGGCAAACTACTCTGCATAGGGAACCACCCAGATAGAGAGAAGTCAACCCTAGCTGACTGCTACCTCGTGGAAAGACAACCATTAAGCCAAATTGGTAACTTTCTGTGTGCATCCACAAACTGAAGTTTTTATGGAGGATATAATGATCTACTTGCCAGAGACATTGGAAAATTTGGGTAAATCAGTGTGAATGGGTATTTTCGCCCAAAACGGGGAGTCCAACTATTCCCAGCTGTCAGCAAGCTAGTACTACATGACTCTTTAGATAAAAACCTGTGTTGGCAGTCAGTTAAGATTGATTTTTTCGGTGATCACTTAGTGAGTCACTTATTACACTTTCCTTGACCTTAGCAACCGCAGAGATCAAAGAGATCGGCCCGTAGTTGAGGGCACTTAGTTTCCTCCTACCTTTATATGCTTGGACGACAGCCAGTCGTTTCCAATCATGGGGTTACTTGCCTTCCAGAAACGTATACCTGAAGCAATGTGACGGCTGGGCACTGATAGTTTGTTCATACTCGACCCAAGCCATGAAAAGTAACACTTGTTGGTTCTTCGGGGAATCGGAGAAGTGTTATTATCTGTTGCTTATGTCCTTCTGCAGTTTCCGCATGGAATCTGATAGGTCCAAAGGGTCATCGTAACCCAACCAAATGCAACCTCCTAGATCTTGCTGGGTGATTTTGAAATCAGTCCTCTCCTAAGTCCCGAGTACTGCCTGAGCGGGAGTAGGCTACTTAGACATTGAAATGTCTAAGGAAGCAGATTTCAGGTTACCCAGTCCAAGAGGGATAAGAACATTGACGTTGGTTACCACAAGTGGAATGACTGGTAAAAAATGTTCACCGAACCCGCGACTCAAAGCCGTAACCGTTTCCATGCGAGGGCACCGCAACAGAAATTGAGTCGAACCTAAATCTTTCATGAGCCGTGTTTCATTAACTGCTTCTGCATCATAACCCAGTCTTCAGGCTAACTTTTTTAGCTACGGTATTTCATTTCTAACTCTGAGAATACTGGTATGAAAGATAATTCGAGCATTTGGGAGGATCCAAGACGTGATCATTTACGCGAGAAAGCATTCGGTTTCAGGGTGTGACAGCCCAACAGTCCACAAGTGTAGGACTCTTAAATCAATGCTTTCCGTCTCTCCATGATATCCTCAAAGGCCTAGTGTCGTCGACTGTGAATGTCGGGTTTACGTGTTTGAACACGTTATCCAGTGGTGTATCCTTTTCTGCCGCACTTAGAACGACCCGCAGAGTCCTCCGCTCATCGAGTTCTTCCATCATTTTTTCCCGCCCCAAAAGTTTCAAAGATGTGAACCGAAGCAGCAGTTCCAAGTAGGGTCTGTTAGATGACTAACTCAACCAGCTCCAGATCATGTACGTGGCGGATTGGAGAGTCTCTGTCTACTGACACCTCAAGTTTCCAAATCACGCCAAACGTCTGTGGGACTTCCTTGAATCTCGTGTGGATGGCCTTCGAAGCCTTTTTAACCACGATGGGGTTAAATTGGAAGCAATGAAAGCTGATTAAACCAGTGTCATGTAAACTTGGTTCAAGTTTCCGTGTTTTGTTGAATGAATTTCGACAGTGTTTGCTGCATCAACAAACGGCACTGTATTGTCTGGTAGACTGTTATTTTCCCCACCACACGTATGCTTTTGTCCAACGGCAACCGGCCATCTCCTATTTTAGAGTAGTTATTGGCTTGCAGCGAAATTCGCAAAGACCAGAGTGAACTCTATTTCCAGCAACGCTGAAGTGTGGATGGTGCCACTCCTGCGCATGCTTTGTGCAGCCAACGTTCACATGCATCTTACAGCCTGCTTTCATCGACCGGGAAGTGGCTGTGAGGTTGTTTACAAGCTTGGTCGTCGCCAGCCATTTTGTTCACCAAGCAGTGAGAAGCTCAATCTAGAAATGAAGTTCACATAGACCATACTAGACAGAATCAACGATATGCATGTGGCAACAGAAAATAATTTGACGGAAGTTATGTCCCAAAATGGTTTGAAATCTGTGCTTGAGCAGAAAGTACCTAGCAAAAGCTGAACTGACAGGACCCTAGTCGAGGTGGGAACTACGACAGTGATCTACTACAGAATGCACAAACAATACTTTTCGAAGAAATGACTGTCCACGTGAAGCTACAACTCACAAACTGTCAGCAGCCGTTATTTTGCAGTTATCCTCAGTCTAAATCTTGACAGTTCAGGTGGTATCCGAGTATTCAAACAAAATACTTTCAACAGCAGAGAGTCAGTGGTCTGGCGAATGCACCAGTGTTCACAACTATGCCTTCACTGACGACAGTTTTCTGCTGCTGTTCGGCATACCATTTCACCAGGATGTTTCACTCTCGTCGTAGAGGAGCTCTGCCATTACTGCCACACAAGGTTCGCAAAAGTTAAATGTGGCATACAGACAGGCACCAGGATAACTTGTTTTCTAACTGGGCTTCATTGAAATTTGAAACGGGAAATGGCCAAAGATTAAACCTCGTTGTACGCCAACCTCTTCCCAATAGTCAAGAAGGCGAAATCTCGTAAACCATTGTTCATACTTATACTTCCTGTCTTTAATTTAGTCGCTTTACACCCCTTTCCAAACTTCTGGTCTTAGTCATGTAGTTTTGCCCACACAACCAAATGACAAACCTTATCCAAAGCTCTACCGAAATCATCGTCTAGTGAGATGTCATAATGAACTATCATTGCTAACTACCCGCCGGCCACCAGAAAGCTAGTCAGAGGGTCATAACATGACTCAAAAGAACACATTTTTCAGGTTTAAACAAATAAATGACTTATAATAATATTATTAATTTAACGTAGGTGAAGCCAGGTTACAGGCACCATCACATTGATATATGTCGAAAAATCTACAAGATTTTACGAGTCCTGAGTGACGCAGAGAGTATGTCATTTAACTCTATTAAAAATAGCAAACGGTCCGGCTAGTTATCAAACGAACATAAAAGTATCACTTTAGCGCATATTGAGTGTTTGAGTTTAGATAATAATAGGTCTTACCATCATACAATAGATTTCACATGAGAGATACTAGTTTACAAGCACCGTCAAATTGCCAATTCTTGAAAGTTTATAAAATAGTACTCAGTCATAAATAGCTCACATACCGAGTCGTTGATGTGCATAACCCTACCAAAACATGTCGCAATTCATGAGACGGGGATGGATTTTCACCTCCCATCACACAGGTAGGTTGCACTGTCAGGAACAAGATCATACAATGTCCGAAGTTTGCGTTATAGCCAGCCGACATTGCTAGTCCATTTGAGTAGTTTGTTATCTAATTATACAACCGTCTATTTATCAGAAAGTTCTACACTTTTCAGCTTTGCATGCCATAAGGACCAGCGTATGCGATCTAGCGTCAGCAAGGTATTCACGGTTGTATAACCAAGTTGAGTGGCCAAATAAATACATTTCCGAGTAACCATGTTACGGTTATAAAGAATACAGATTAATTCCACTTGGAATACCTGTTGTAGTGGATGGGAACAGGCGTTGAAATGGCTGGGGTCCTTTCCGCTTCCAAATGGTGTTGGAATGGATCCCTGTATCCAATATCATTTTATGGGCCGGCGTAAACAAACTGGTTTCTACATGTGCGCTTCTAGGTCTTGCGGAATTGCTCCAGTTCTCTGCCGGGTTCCTATGTGGCAGGTCTACTCACTAGCCTGCCGCAGCTTTGGTCAGCCCGATGGAAGTTTCCATATTA